AGTTTTCAATCTGTCATGCTCATGGCACAATGAGCAACAGTGTAAGTGTTGCAACTTAGCAAACTGGTACGAGACTTTTTGTCACGGCGATGTGATTCATATGCCCTGAGCCATGACCATAGGTACGAGCACAATCAAAATTGTGGACTGTGAAAATGTGAGCCAATGTATAAGACGATTGTTGCAAATAAGGAGAAAATTTGACTTCGCATTACATTTCAACGGTCGATGACTCAAGGATTTAAATTCTCTTGTAGTTATCAGAATTTCATCATGCTATTAGTTTTATAGTATACGTGACTGAAGTCAAATTTTTTTCAATATTCAAAGTTTTTGAAAAAATTCGAAAAAGCTATGAGTTTATTATCAACAAGTACTTCTCTAATTGCGATAAGTGTGTCATTAATTTGGAATTTTTATATAATAAGACTAAAAAATAAATTACTATTTTTAAACCCTTTGTTTTCAAAATCTTATCAAAAGATTTGTTATGTTATTTATAAATAGACTTTAGTCTATATAAGTTTTAGAGCAATCTGCAATGTATATACTCTTGGCTTTTTTCCATAAAGCTATAATCTATGTCAAGTTCATCATTTCATCTAATTAACCTGAAATTCTTTTTTCAAATTTTCGCTTGATTTGATACAAGAATTCATAAGAAAAAAATCACAAATAACAGTCACAAAATAAAATGAGATCATACTTAGGAATAAAAATAACCATGAATTTTTTGTGAGCCACATTTTTGTTCTTTGGAATAAGTGAGCTACTTGGCCATCAAGTTGGCAATGTAAAAGTTTTGGAATTTGTTGGTATTTTGATTTCTAAGTCTTCTATATTATTGGAGAAAACAAAAATTCTCATTCAAAGATAAATCGTAAACTGACAATGAAATAGTTCTGTAATGATTTTTTCCTTCTCTAGGTAGATCTTCGATTGTTTTATTCCTTTCAGAACCTTTTATGATTATTCAATGACAGACTAATATGTAGATGATACTTCCATTATTGTTAAAAAATTGAAAAAAATTTCTTGTTAAAAGTTTTTATTTAATGAAAAATTTCTACCAAAAATCAAACTTTAGAAATGTGGTTTCACAATTCGGAATCAATTACATCAGTTTGATATCAGTTGGAAATAAAAAAATAAATTAGATTTCAAACTACTTCAAAGACTGTTAAAAAAATATTTGAAAACTAAAAATTTTACAGTTTGAAATTTGAGGGTGCATGCGTTATATCTATGGCTTCCTTAAACCATACATCTAGGGGTCATGAACGACTTTTCAGCAAATCTTCCCTCTACCAAGGATCCTTGTATAGCTAGACTTTCATGACCAAATAATTCATGGGAGAATATTATAAACTTTGAAATGGTTTTTCCATCTCAAAGTAATTATGGCTTGTTAGCAATGAAGCGTCTTTCAACACCAGCTTCTTGCATGCATGAAATTGAATCCTTGGGAGATAACATAATTAATAGTAAAAGACTTTGTAATTAAAAGTAATTAACTTCTATTAGAAGTTTTCTTCATTATATATTATTATATATTAGAAGTTTTCTTCATCTGAGCCATGTAAATATGCAGTAAGTATCAAGGTATTTCGATCAATAATTCTTAAATTCAAGCATTTGCGGGGCCTTTTCAACCAGTTAAGAGATGGTACATTTGTGGGTACTATATAGCAATGGTAAGTTTTTGGCAGATTATTTCGAAAAAGAAGGATTTTGAAATATTTTAGTGAGCGTGTCTACTCAGTTCTTTCCAAGTAAACTTTACTTGGAAAGAACTGATCAGAGAAGGAGGACCACTGCGAGACTTATGTAGCAATCTAGTTTTGCGAATTCCAAAGTGTTAGCATGTTTATGAAATCTACTGAAAAAAATCAACCGAGTAACATTGACTGCCATAATGTCCCGGCGTCAGATGAAACTGCATATGAGGCCGCTTAAAAAAAGTTGAGCATCTGACTTTATATAATACTGTCAGTGGTTCACGTAATGTAACAGGAGGTTACATTCAAAGAGTGGTAAGACCGCATTAAAGATTACAAGGAACCAGTGATGACCCCAATTTTATAACCATGTGAAACAAATGTTATACTAACCAAATAATATTTATTATCTCACTCATAAATCCTGCAAATAACATCACATCAACTAAAGTGGCTGGTTACTGTAGGCATCTTCGTCCATAGTTAGACCTCCAACGTGCCAGAATTTTATAATGAGTAGATTAACGTCTGCATCAATTATAGCACACATGTGACTCCTGTAGATCAATCCTCAGCTCAGTTTGTCCTTAAACTTTTTTGTCAAGACCGTGCCCTAAAAGTGGAAGTCTATCGGGTCAGAAGTCCGAGCCGTCAGAACCTTAAATAAACATAACTTCGTTTCTATGATTCGTACTCACACCTCTCAGCAACACTCAATATATGAATATGTACGCTCCAAAATTTTTATTTCATGAAAAGTTCTACCAAAAATCAAACTTTAGAAATGTGGTTTCACAATTTGGAATAAATTACATCAGTTTGATATCAAATAAAAAGTCATCTGTTGGAAATAAAAAATTAAATTAGATTTCAAACTACTTCAAAAAGTGTTAAAAAGATATTTGAAAACTAAAAATTTTACCGTTTGAAATTTGAGGGTGCTCGCGTTATATCTATAACTTCCTTAAACCTAAACCTAAACCTAATGGCTCGGTCAGAAGTCCGAGCCATCAGAACTTTAAATAAACGCAACTTCGTTTCTATGAATCGTACTCACACCTCTCAGCAACACTCGCAGCTCATCTCTCCACCGATTTTCAGATTCTGCGGTACCCATGGCCCGTGTTGTCCTCTTCGTGTTCTTGCTGGCCACTCTGGTTGCGGCCTCCTGGTTCCCGCTCGCCCAATGTGCCGAGAGGGTCACATGCTATAACTCCGGGAGAATGTTCAACCGTGCAAGGGTGAGAATCCTCCTCCTCCGCTATATTCGTCGGATGAGACTCTATTGGGTTTAGGTTTAGTTTAGGGTGTAGTTTAACCCTAAACCCTAAACCCACCAATTCGAATCTTGGAATCGTTGGATGAGACTCTATTGCAGGCTTCAATGTGCTCATTGATCTGAAATCGGTGCATGGAAATCCAAACGGCCTAATCAACTTGGGGTTGACCACAGATCATCAACGCGATCAACTCATTCTGCGCACGCTACGAAGGTTCTACTTTTGCCGATGGCCGAAAAATTCACGAGCGCTACGACTTCCCGTTTCCCGAGACCGGCCACATCGACATCTCGGCCGAGGCGTTCAGGGGGTGCTCGTTCATAATGAACAAGAACGACTGCGGAAGGCTGCTGCGACGACCCACGGACGAATGCAACACCGGCGGAGAGAATGGCAAGCAGGGCGGCTTCGTGGAAGACGACTGCAGAAGGTTCAAAATGGATCCAAATGCATAGAATAGTCTCATGTTGGAAAATGATTGATTATTCCATCAAAAAGCTGGATATATCCCGTGCTGAGCTCATCCATGTCATCTTACTTTATTGTCAGCGGATATGATAGCGGATTTCCGACTATCCTTCTCGTCTGATAGGATGCGGCCTTGAGCCGGCGGAGGCTGACATTGTTCATGAATAGATTGAATAAAGGCTGCAACTTTTGGAATCTACATTGTTCTACATGCGGGGGCAAGGTCCATGGTCTCCTCCGAACGGGAATAAAATGAAATGAGTGCCATATACCTCATCCTGGAACACAGATGGATTGAATGTCGTCAACAAAAGAAATTGCAACGTCAAACATACATATGGTTTGGCCAAACATACATATTTGGAGCCGCAGGCTCCAAATATGTATCCAATCTGGATCAGACTTTACAACTTATCACAATAACCAGAAGTTTATAGAGTATAATCACAATACTATGCCGAGCATGTTGTTCGTATATTTTCAAATGACAGAATACATTGTTCGCTTCTTGAACCCTTGTTACGTACTGATCATCTTCAAACTTTGAATCAAATCTCTGTACCTGAGATCGAGGCTTCGATACAAGCCCCACCCCTCGGCATGTTCAGCGATGTGGGGGATACTGATTAATGATGTCACAAGAACATTGTGCCGAAATTTTGTCCCAGTTTGTAAACAGTAGGGACGACTGAGGATAAAGAGAGTCGTGCCTTTAGCGTTCTTTACCACATTGAGCCACAAAATCAGTTATCTACACTTGAATCATAGCAGATCGAGAGAATGAAAGCCGAATGTTAACATGTAAATGAGCAGCATGTATCTTTGTTCTCTTTTACAATGTAAGCTATGACGTTGTCTCAACACGGTGCCAATGCCTTAAGGGGATACTTTTTCTTAACCAACTGATTGAGATACTATAATATTTTTTGCTGATGATATGAATGGCATTTTGGATTGATTTGGATGGCATATTGCTTGAAAGAAAAGCTATGCAAGTCATTTATTAGCCTCTGCATCCCTTTGTAGTGTTGGACAGTGCCATATTGTCCCGGCATCTAATGACACTGCATGCGAGGCCGCTTTTCCGAAAGTTGAGCATCTGACTTTTTTATTATACTGCGAGTAGTTCACGTAATGTAACAGGAGGTTACATTTAAAGAATGGTAAGACCCCATAAAAAACTACGAGAAACCAGTGCTGACCCCAACTTCATAACCATGTGAAACATATGTTATACTAACCAAAACATATTCATAATCCTAATCAGAATGTATGCAAATAACATCACTTCAACTATAGTGGCTGGTTACTGTAGACATCTTCGTCCATCGTTGACTTCCAATGTGCCAATGAGTAAATTAAAGTCTGCATCAATCATAACACACATGTGGCTACTGTCGATCAATCCTCAGCTCAGTTGGTCCTTCAACTTTTTAGGCAAGATCATGGCACAAAAGTGAATTTTATCGGCTCAGAAGTCCGAGCCATCAAAACCTTATATAAACACAACTAAGTTTCAATGAATCGCACTCACACCTCTCACCAACACTCGCAGCTCATCAATCTATCGATTTTCAGATTCTGCGGTACCCATGGCCCGTGTTGTCCTCTTCGTGTTCTTGTTGGCCACTCTGGTGGCGGCCTCCTGGCTCCCGCTCGCCCAATGTGCCGAGAGGGTCACATGCTACAACTCCGGGAGAAAGTTCACCCGAGCAAGGGTGAGAATCCTCCTGCTTCTTCACAATTAAACTTCATATTTTAGATTTTTAGAATCGCTTAGATTCTATTGCATACATTTAATGTGCTCATTAATCTATTTGGTGCATGGAAATATAAGTTTACAAATGTAACGTTGGGCTCACTACAGATCATCAACGCGATCAACTCATTATGCGCACGCTACAAAGGTCAGACTTTCGCCGACGGCCGAAAGGTGGACCAGCGCTACGACTTCCCGTCTCCCGAGACCGGCCACATCGACATCTCGGCCGAGGCGTTCAGGGGGTGCTCGTTCACAATGGACGAGAACGACTGCGGAAGGCTGCTGCGACGACCCACGGACGAATGCAACACCGGCGGCGAGAACGGCAAGCAGGGCGGCTTCGTGGAGGACGAATGCAGGAGGTTCAAAATGGACCCAAATGCATAGAGCTTATTGTCAGCGGATTTTCTCTCCAGAATTCCGGTTATCCTTCACGCTCGATAAGAATGCAGTCTTGTCCAAGGAAAGACTGACATTGTGAATCAATAAATAACCAATTCATGTAAAAAGCGTGAATGCTTTGAATCTAAATGGATTGGTAGTAAATATACAATTTGAACTCTGGCAACTCGAGGATGATTCAGTTTTGGACGTCTCAGCGCACAACATTTGCGGAAACGTCATCATGTGTCATCCTCGCAAATTGTCCGCCGGGGCAAAGCTGATGGCCTCCTTCCAGCGGAAAGAAATCGAAATGAGCCTTGTCCACATAGCTTCCCGTGGAACCCAGATGAATTGACCTTCTTTCAAGTAAACAAATGCAACCTCACACCTACATATGGTTTCGCTTTCCGTTCGGAAAATATACGCTAAGGATCAGATCTTCGAGAAGTCACATTAACCTTACTTAATATGATACTGGAATATATATATTCAATATTGGCACCTCCGAGACATTGCGGAGAGTGAGCACATCGAACTGCCGAATGACACTTTGATTCTCACAGGTGAGTTTCAGGACTACTTGATTTGCCGAAGAGTGTCTACTTTCAACGTGAAGCAATAGTAATTGAAAGGCTTGGTAGTTGAAATTAATGCATGTTGTCACTACATATTGCTGCATCGATTGCATTCAAATGCATGTTTTGTTCCAACGCATTCCTTGCTTTCAATCAGCGCGTACTCCTGATTCTTCTGGAGCCTGAACATGTTACAGAAGAATAAAGTTAGATGGGACTTCTGAAGTAGCTACAACGGCACATATCTGATTTTTCGTTGCCAGATCTCCAGGCCTATTATGGGAAATGTTCTCTCACATAGTTTGACTCGGGCTCCATACAGGTGATGTGCGCCTACTCGGCTCTTGAGAATAGTTCGCAAGAATTCGATCAACAGCAGTCAACGGGCATGCTATCATTCCTTATGAACCCATCCAATGGAGAGGTCTACCATCGTTGATCAGAACTGTGTTCAGTAGACCTTTAAATATTGAAGTAAAAAAGGCTCGAGCGTTTTTAAATCTTGTCGAAACCAAAACACGATAGGAGGAAAAGTCTTTTTAGGCACTTCATCTGCACTTTATGTGATATCCTGATGCATGCTGATGCATTGAAAGTATTTACCATGATACGTAGGCCAAATTTCCTACTTAGTAGAACGGACTGACCTAAAGTGAGGGTCTTACTTCTTACAAATTTACGCATCTTTCAAATCGTTCGCCCCCGGAAGCAGAAATATTATCATATGCACGAGTTTCAAAACAACTTGGAATGATTCTTTGACACAATGAACTAAAACAAAACTCCGAAGCTGGGGAGGAGTTGTCATCGTTTTCATCAACGAGCACAACGTCTTCTGTACAACAACTTCTGTCTTCTTGGTTAGCTTCCCATCTTCATATACTTGAAGGATGATAGACAAAGGTCCAGCTGCGTATCCTACTTCTCCAGCTCCGTGTGAGAAGATCACACAGATAGCCGAGAAAACCTGCAGGAATGATGGAGGAGACATTTAGAGCTCTTGACTTACATGATCCGGATTGTGAACTCAATTATACAAATATCCGTCAAAAAACGATATGCTTAACAAACTTACTTGAAGATACATGAAGGCATACTCCACTCTCGGCTCGAAAACCTCTGCGTGCTTGTGGATGTCTCCAACCGTTTGGTTTGTGTTGACCACGTTGTGGATATCTTGCGTCCAGCCATGAGATATGATTTTCCAAATCTTGGATCCGAAACTTAGAGGTGCTTTGTCTTGTGTCGTCTTCTCCTCAGATTCCACATCTTTTCTTGGGTTCTCGCTATCCACTCCAGCAGTTAAGTCGAATTCCCCGATCCGGTTTCCTTCACTGAAAATCACAATTTGTGAGCAATGATGTGATACAATTTGCAACCAAAGAAGCCAAGCATAAAGAGAAATATCACATTGAAGAATTCATCCAAATCTTATCTGAATGAAATGTGCTGCATATGTTCAAAGCTGTCTGAAAAAAGTGTGGTCCTATGATAAATTTAAAATTCGAATCCGCATCAAATGCAATGTCAATTGCATTGCGAAGAATTCTAACCTGTCGAACGTGGCATTCACCTTCCTGTATAAGAACGGAACGACAGTGATTGCAGACACAATAGCTGAACCTGCTGCTATGATAGCAGAAATCCACGCCGTCTTGGAGTATGACCAATGAACGCCATCTTTGTCCATCTGCTTCTTGGCTCCCTGCACAATACAAAGATATCTCCGTCATACCAATGAACATTCGTGGATCTTTGTGGTACCCCACTTTTGGTAATTTTGAGGAAATTAAAACATTTTTGGAAAACTGTACCCTGGCAGCAATGTAAATAGCCTTCGGTGCATCAAAACAGAGTGAATTCGGAAGATCGCGGAGATTCTCGAGGGATCTCGTAAAATCTAGGAGTTGGGTGCAGCAGTAAGGACGGGCACCACCCCCCCTGCGAGCTCTGCAGTTAGGATCCCTACGGCGCAAGGCGCAGAACCCGCCTTCGGAGCTGCGTCCGCGGCGGTAGGGAAATCCTTCATATTTAGGTCAACCCCCGGACGCCTTGACTTAGCTAAAGTCTCGTTGGAAAGAGCTCGACGCACTGATTCCAACGAGCCCAAGAACGCCAACAGCGGATAAGGACTCCGGGAGTTATGAAGGTTGTAAGATACTCAGCTCTTCGCCTGCGCACAGGCGGAGAAGTTTTGTCCTATGCGCGGACGAAGGAAGTTTGCCTGCGCACAGGCGAAAAAGGGTTTGAGGTAGGCGCAAAGTTCGCCTACGCACAGGCGTCCGCCTGTGCACAGGCGCTTCGGCGTCGGCGGAAAATCCGCCTTGGGCCCTAGAAATGCGCCTTGTGAGGTAGAAATTGTACGGCGCCTTCTGCGCCAGCGCAGCGCCGCGGACGAGCAAGGAGCCGCCAGAATAGTAAAATCCGTACGGACCGTACGGACGGGACGGATGGATGCGCTCTTGGACGGACGGAGTTGCGGCGGCGGAAGCGCCGACGAAGAAACAAGGAACGGACAGTCTGGACGGAGACGGTTGACCGCGGTCAATGCCTTCCGCGCCAGCGCATTGCCGCGGACAGAATTCGCCTGCACACAGGCGAGCGTCTGTGCACAGGAGGATGAAGTTCCGCGCCGGCGGAGAATCCGCCGAGGAGTCCGCCTGCGCGCAGGCGGGAGTTGAACTTTTGTCCGACATGCGGACACACGCGCCGAGGCAGAAGAGGATTGGCTGAGGAGCGGTACGAACGAGTGTACCGCGCAAGGCGGAAAACCCGCCTTCGGCGCTGCGCACCCATGTCCGCGGTGTAGTACGCTCGCGGAGTTCAAATTTGCCAATTCGAGCGTGAGAGTTTAATCGGCGACGGCGGAGCGTGAAGCCGCGCGTGAGAGCGGAGACCGTTTCAGCGTAGAGCCGGCGCGGCCATCAATTGAGACGTCCTCCACGAGCAAGAGCCGACCATGACCTTCGACCGGGCGGCGGAGAGCGTCCCATTCTTGAATTCGCGATTCCATTCTCTAGTGCGAGCTGCGCGCGTCCATCTGCTGGCTGCTAAGCATTCTCGACATCGCCGCGCAGAGGATTTCTTGGTGGTGGAGGGAGAAGTGAGTGCGCGTGATTTGGAATTGAGGGCAATTAGAGTTTGCCGAGGAAGAAAGGAGCTCGAGCGGAGCGGAAGTAGAATGAGCGGGCGGGCGAACTCCAAGAACGCAATGACGAGACCGGGCCGATTGCGGATGCTGCCGCTCCGTCTACCACAGAACGGGCTTCGCGCTTTCGAGGAGCGCTTGATAGCAAGAAAGCTCAATTTCTTGCTATGGGGATGGAACTACAGCTGTGCGGATATGGTGCGCGAGTGGCTAGAGCCACAAGGACCACCCTCGCGCGGATTGCGTCCGCATGTTGATCGGTGGACAATCCAAGATTGGGCGCAAGCATTGGGGAGATGTGCCGGCATGCCAGGGCACCTCCTCTTCGACAGTGAGAGCATCAAGGTGACCAAGCAGGAAGAGGCTCAATTTGTGGAGCTGTTCAAGACCGGGAGGTCTACCAAGAATGGGTACAGGACCCGCGATTACAAGGATCGATTCCGCCGGACTTTGGCCACGGCGCTAATGCAATTACTGCAGCCACACCGCGCCTGCTACATCACATTGTGGCAGGTCTCTTTTGTGGAGTGCGTCATCGAGGGAACTCCAATTCACTTGGCGAGCATCCTGCACAGAGTGATGCGACAGCACGCTTTTGAGGAGAAGGGGGGAACTCTAAACCATCTCTCTCCTTTCCTCATCAATTTTTATCGACAGCAGAATTGTTTGAGAGCGGCGGAGCTTGCGCGTTTTCCGCCGTTGTCCGTCGACCATCCCGGGAAGTATGTGCGGGAGAATGAGGTCGACACTGATGCAGAGGAGTCACCGACTTCTACTCCGTCAAGGCGGAGGGACGAAGAGAGGAACACTCCTGCAGCACGAGCGCCGCGGAAGCGGCGATGGAGAGAGGAGTCCGAAGAGGAGCAGCATCAAGAACCCTCTGCTCCCATTCGACCGCGGCCGTTGTACGAGTCATACAGCCGGCCGAAGCAGAAGGTGCGCAGACTGGTGTTACCAATTAACAGCGCGGACACGGCGAGGATTGCGACGGAGAAAGGAAGTGCGTCGCCGGAGAAGAATGAGGAAGCGCGGACGTCCGCAGGAGCAACGGACCACGCTGCAGCCTCGACGGGCGAAAGGCCGCCTACGGGCCAAGGGCCTCCGGAGTTACCACGTGCGTTGCGGACAGGTGTTCCGTTTGCGCACACGCGAGCCTCCGCGGACGGACGAGACTCCGCGGACGGACGAGCCTCCGCGGACAAACGACCACAAGCGGACGTAGACCTACGCCTACGCGTGGGAAGAAGCAGTCCGCCTGTGCACAGGTCACCTCCACACGTGCCGCCTGTGCGCAGGCAGGAATCACCCCCGTTCCAACGTAGGAAGGGGAAGGAGCCGGCGGAGGATCCGCCTACGAGACACCGGCCTTCGGGGCCAGACCCCCCGGCGCACAACGCGCCG